ATCTCAGACTTCCAACTAGCCTCTTGAAATACGTGGGATCAATTTCGGAACCACTTCCGTCTTTTGTCAACTTCAACCTTTCTTCCATGGGAGTGTTGATTGGTTTACAAGTAGCCATCTTGAAACGCTCAAGAATATCCTTGGCATACTTTTGTTGACAAATAAAAATACCATCCTCCGATTGTGTAACTTCTAGGCCGAGAAAATAATACATCAGACCCATGTCTACCATCTCAAACTCATGAGTCATAGCCTCCCTGAAATCACAAATCATCTCTTGACAATCTCCAGTAAATATGAGATCATCGACATATAAGCAAGTAATGAGTATCTCACCATTCAAGCCATTCTTAACATATAAAGTATGCTCATAAGGACATCGAGTAAAACCATGATTCAGAAAATAAGAGTCAATTCTGGTATACCACGCTCGCGGTGCTTGCTTAAGGCCGTAAAGAGCTTTCTTCAATTTGTAGACAAAGCCCTCTTGTCCTTTCTTGACATAACCTTCAGGTTGATCCACATACACTTCCTCCTCAAGTACGCCATTGAGAAATGCGGACTTGACATCCATCTGGTGTATTTTCCAATGTTTCTGAGCAGCCAAGGCAAAGATCATACGAATGGTATCCATTCTAGCAACTGGAGCAAATACCTCAAAATAGTCAATCCCGGGTTTTTGTTTGTAACCCTTGACTACGAGACGAGCCTTCAACCGATCAACATCACCATTAGGCTTGTACTTGGTCTTATAGACCCATTTCACACCAATGGACTTTTTGCCTTCCGGGAGAGATGTGAGCTCCCACGTATCATTTTTCTCAATTGCGTGGATCTCATCATTCATCGCGCGAACCCAACCATTATCTTGGGAAGCCTCTTGAAACTTTATCACAATCTACAAAGAGAGCAAAATTGATAATTTCTTCATCAGAGGGATCATCATCATTGGACAAAACACAATCCTTCAAACGATCCGGTAAAACTGGTTCTCGCCGTGGACGTGAAGAACTTTCAGCAAGATTTTCGATAGGATTTTCAACAGAATTCGATGAAGTAACTGCCGAAGTCTCTACTATCGAATCGCTATCGAACCCGGTTCCACCGAAGCCGCATCGGTTCGGATTGACTATATGAATCGAGCTGAACCGTCTCCTCCTCATCTAGGACAAAGCGAAACTGCTTCTTTTCTTCCGTGTTCCAGGTCCACTCACCTTCCTCGTTGAAGGTAACATCTCAACTGATTACCACCTTTTTCGTTCTACGGATTATACAACCGATAACCCTTGGTTTCATTGTCAGAACCGAGGAAGATGCACTTCTCGCTCTTCTCATCAAGCTTCTTACGAAGCTCATTTGGCACATGGGCATAAGCAATACACCCAAACACACGAAGATGCTGAACTGAAGGGATTCGACCACTCCACACCTCCGTCAGTGTCTTGAACTCAAGACCTTTAGTGGGACATCTGTTCAACAAGTAAACAGTACAAGCAACCGCCTCCGCCCAAAAATGCTTTGGCAAATGTTTAGAACAAAGCATAGTACGTACCATTTCGACAATAGTGCGATTTTTTCTCTCCGCTACTCCGTTCTGTTGAGGAGTATATCGTGCTGTCAATTGATGCTTAATGCCGCATTGCTTGAAGAAGCCGTCACCAACCAAATATTCTGTGCCGCGATCAGTTCGGAGAATCCGAATTTTGTGCCCACTTTGTTTTTCGACATAGGCTTTGAACTCCTTGAAAGTATCGATGGTGTCGGATTTCTGCTTCAAGAAATAAACCCATGTTTTTCTGCTAAAGTCGTCGATAAAGGTAACAAAATACCTGTACCCATGATTCGACGATTCACCAAGCAGTCCGCAGAGATCGGAGTGAACTAACTCCAATGGCTTCGACGCTCTCCATGATTTTCCTGAAAGAAAGCTTTCTCTAGACTTCTTCCCAATGACGCATGGTTCACATATCTCCTTTGGAGAAGAAATTTCGGGCAGACCTCGCACCATCTTCTTTCGACACAACAGCTTCAAGCTAT